AGTAGAACATAAGGTTGACGGAAACTCAGGGACTGCGTCTACCTGATGAACCCCAAGAAGGGCGGAACCGGTCGTGGGCTGTCGAGGAGTTTTCAGCAACCTTATGGGTAGTGCGTCTTGAAAGTGGCCTTAATTTTTCGATTTGGAACTCAGTCAATGTTTGCTGATGGCTATCGGCAGCCATTGACAATCGTGTACGCACGAGCCCCCAACAAGCAGTTATTCAGGGAAGCCTATTTCATTACTTTCGAACGATTGTTTCAATGTCGCTGGTGCACCAAACGGGGTCTTTGTGATCGATATTTGTACTTTACCATACCAGGATTAATAACCATCTAACCTTTTAAAGCGGCACACACGCAAGTGCGAGAGACGGACCCGAACACGGCGCATGCGGAGAGATTAGTTTGCCACTTGATCAAACGCGATAAGACGCTTTCCAGACCAGCTGTTTATCTTGTGATTTATTGCGGTAGATGCGCCCTACCAACGGTGATTACCACTGATGTCCCGAAAACGTGACCTCAAGATAAATCCCCCATTCATTTGCTTACTCCGCCTATGCACTTTTAACTCTCCACCTGTTTTGCCTATCTGTGCCCGCCTCAAAGGCCGTCCCATCCGCCCCTGTGTATTAGCATGTCTGCATGTGGATGTGCGCAGCTGACCTACTTACCCACGCGCGTTCGTGCCTCGTTTGCAGAGCCTTTCTCGACTAGATTTCGCATGGGTTTCGTGTGATTGTACCGCCAATGAGAGGCACGAGACTGTCTTCGGAAGGTCGACTAGATTTCGCATGGGTTTCGTGTGACTGCACCGCCATTGAGAAGCATGAGACTGTCGTCGGAAGAGATGACTGCAACCCACACTACTGGGCCAACATTCCGCTTGTCGTTTGGCTTGCGACCTTGACGCTGCATCGTGTCGGTCAGCGACAGACTTTAACGCCACGAACGTATCCATTTCTACCTTTTGATATTCGGGATTGTCGAACCTACGCATCCCGTATCGGGAATCTCTCCAAGAGTTTTCTACTATTCGCTATGAGCAGAACGTCCCTGATCGTCTGGGCTTCACAACTTGGTTTACGACTCGACTACGGTTATCCTTTGAGGAGAGAGACTGAGTGCCCAATAAGACCTAAAACATGGTAAGATATTGCTCCACATGCAGTTGAATGCAGTGTGTTAAATGTTCGATACGGCGGCTTAGTCAAGGGATACAGGAACACATGACGTCCAGCTCTATTAAGGGTAACAGGACACGATGAACAGTGCAATAAAGCTTTCGGGATCTTCCACGGAACACACTCACACCAACACATTGGGCACAAGCTCTCAATGGCACTCGCGTGTCCAAACTATTACCTTCAATGCATAGCTCCCTTCCCAATCCCCCCACTCAACAGTAGTCACACCCCAATTTATCAGCTCCCGCCTCCAATGCGCAGCTACCTCCCCGAATCATCGGTGAACGAAACTGTGACAGCTACAACCACTGTAAGACAAGTACGCGGTTCTTACAGCTGATCATGATCATGATGACGAGCTCTCATGATCAGGGCGGTACTATCAGATCACGTGATCACCCGATCTCGGGGAGTGGAAAGCATTTCCTGTACGTATTTTAGTTCCTATCCAGCCCCCAGTCTGTATATCAAGGTTATCCCATTGGTGGCCTTGGTACAGCTGTTTAACTCCGTGTTGGCCAAGAGCACTGTTCTTTTTTTGGACATTTTTAACCTCCATAAATGTATGACCTGAGGAGAAATTTCCGAAACTGCATGTGCGTCAAACCCTGCATCTTCTGTGGCTAAATTGGAATTCGCGGTGTGATTGAGCATACGTTTCGAACCGAGAGGCCAGAACGTTCTTCGTCCTGGCCCATTGCTAAATTGAGAACATTATAAAAGGACCCACAGGTGTGTATTACGAAACGTATGAAAAAAGACAGGATCACAAAGAGGTAGCTCCGGTGAAGGTTACAGCTAAACCCTGATTTGGAGAACGAATAGGGGTTACAAGGCCGAATTAGCGAACACTAAATTGAGAAAAAAATCAACTTCAGAAAAAAAAAAACCAGGAGTACCTTTGTATGCGAAAGTAAACGATGTCTTTGCCAGAAGTCGGTTTTTCGGTCAATCGGCAATGACACTAAAGATACAGTAGTAAAATCCCAAAATGCTATTTTTTTAAAAAAAAGACCTGAGAAAGTTGTTTGTTGAAAAACAAAAGGCAAACAGATTGTGCACATGTGAACAGGTGACCTCGTAGAAATTTAGAGTAAAAACAATAAAAGCACTACTTGGAAAAATGGAACGAAATGGGGATTGATAAAAATCAACTAACTAGATTGTGTGAATGAGGACGAATGTACTGTAAAAACAACAGATTAATGATGAGAACCCTTGCTATTGGTCGACAAAGTCCATCGAGCTACAGGTCTGCGTCCGTTTAGTTTATCGCGGCTGTGGCGAAATTGACCATGCTCGCATACGAGAGCCATGCAATGTAGGGAAGCATCAAATTGCTGGCCAGCTGGTTGATGGGACGAAACAGCACAGCCGAAGCGATCGCACCTCCAAGAACTGCAACAATGACGACACAACTCTGCAAACCATAAAAAGGAATGAAATGACGGAGAAATCGGTAAATAAGGGACGGACTACACAAAGGTGAAATTGTTGACCTGACAGCACACCGTTCTCGATGGACACGGGAGAGAGTACAGTTGTCACTCTTTGAAGAGACCACCTTGATAAATCGACAAAAATAAGTCTGTTCTGAAAGACTCCTGAAGGGACCAACTCAAGTAGTCGGGCAAAGTTGGACCAATTTGGGGCGATTGTAGGGGTTTATCAGAACTGAAATCCAGAAATTTAAGCTAAACACTGAACGTTACACGTCGGGATTGGGCAACTTTTTTATTTAGCTAGTCGTTAGAGGCATAAATATCAAACTTTCGGAGTTTGTTGTTGAGAAAACTGGGATAAGATTGGGCACGACAATTAGCCTAACCAACTGAAAAGAAGCGTTCTAATTTGTCTGTGGTCAAACAACCGAACAGACGTACACTCATTTGTACCGGATATGGAATGACTGGTCTCTGATAAGCGGCATCAGCTACAACACAGCCTTTGTGTAAAACGTTCAGCTGTAACATCCTTTTGGTGTCTAACTGCCATGCCACCCGAAGGTTGCACGAGGGCTGGGATACTGCCAGATTGTCAAAGCCTAGACAGGGGAAGTCATGAGGCAGAGGTCGGGTTCGAACCACGGACCTTCCAGTCGGTAAATTCGCGCTCTGACCGCTTGGGCCATCTCGACCGGCCTTTGTGTTCTGTGACAAGCACGCAGGTGAGTAGCGTTGTGCGGTCGTTTGGCACCAGGTGTCCCCTGTTGTACACTAGTCTTCATGAAAACCGTTTCTGAATCCGCCAACTTCCCCCCAGTGAAACGGATGAAAATCCACAATTCACGAGAAAACTTGTGGAAGCACTTTGGATCCATGTACCAAAACAGACCAAAGGACTACCCCGTGTTCAATTCCGCCAACTTCCCCCCAGTGAAACGGATGGGAATCCACAATTCACGAGATAACTTGTGGAAACACTTTGGATCCATATACCAAAACAGAACAAAGGACTAACAAAGGACCAACTACCAGTAACTGTCCCACGCGCACTAGCATTTGGTCAACTCTCCCATAGTTGCGGACTCTGAGTGCGTACGTGGCGTGCAGGGCTACGGTCAAAGGATGGCTGCCCGTTCGTCCTTTGGCCCCCATTAAAATCCGTCAATTGCTTACGACATGCACTAGACGATGTTTGGTAAAACGTTTACACAGGATACCGCAGCCACTACCTAGAGGTACACAACGATCCGCCTTCTGCTCTGTTGCACAGTCGTGCCGGCCTCCGCCACACACACACACACACACAATCTGGTGATACCATGAAACTTTGAACCCAGTGAGTGTAGTAATCGAAGTGTACGACCTGACTGAATATGGTTCAAAGGATGGGAGACTGTGCCTAGGGTGTGATAGTAAAACAGACGCAGACGCGACCAACAACTACACTGTGTAGTGGAACGTTGCAATAGCTTGAAAATTAATTCATACGCACATGTACACTCGAAAAAGAACAGTCATCCGAACGTAGTTCAGCAGTAAACTGCATACCATTTCATGGAAGAGACCAGTTCCGACCGTCCCCCGATGGAGACAAATGTATCACAAAGTATCTCTGAGCTAAAGTCTTTTCAATATGCGGAGGTGGCTGTTGAGGAACACAATGTATGTTGGAATGTGGTCACGTGATAGGCTGACTGCGCTCTACTTTTCAACTCAAGTCGCAATACTACTCTGATAATGGCGCACAACAGCTGATGCAGTTGACCCATAATAGTACAGAAATTCAATGCAAATGACAAACCATCTAACGGGCTATCACGTGATCAATACATCGTGTAGAAGAAGCAACCTCGCTTTAAGGCCGAAGTCCGGTGAGTATGCAAAGAATCAACGTGACTAGGAAAATGCATAAACTTTTTATGACCACTGTATGCATTGGTAGGATGGGAGTTGGAGGCAACAAGCCCCGATGAAGAACCTTCACTGAGCAATAGTCAATGGTCAGAAAGATTTTCCCATTAGTTGTGACAGCCAAATCCAATTCGTACATACTGAATCGGATTTACGTCCGATGTATAGCAACCGCCCATCGGTTTGAAACGACAACCTCTAGTGGTCAAGCTCTCTTCGCTTTGGTACAACACTCCCACCGTCGACAGACAAACGTCCCCAAGATGAAGTCTTTCTTCAAGGAAGCACGACACAAACGTGCCGTAGACAATTGTTGCGTGGACATGTTGGTATTTTCCAATGTACGTACGGTATTCGATAACTCTGAACAAACACCAGACCAGCGTCGCTTGTTCGCCCCAATGTTTGTCCGATCCTGTAGCGAGCGACCAACCAAGCTTGATTATCGAGAAATGCACTCATTTGAAAATCCATTTGGTTTTCACGAGAGACGCAATTGAATCTCTCGTTTATGATATTCTATTCGTGAAAACCAAACTGATTTGCAAATGAGTGCACTTCCCGAAAACAGTCCAATTTGGGTTCAAGTAGAGCATAAGGTTGACGGAAACTCGGAGACTGCGCCTACCTGATGGGCCCCAAGAAAGGCGAAACCGGTCGTGGGCTGTCGACAAATTTTCAGCAACCTTGTGAGTAGCTTCCTTTATGGAAAGATATTGCGATGTCTCGAATATCGTGCCAATCAAAACATGAGGCGGCCTGTGTGCAGCACATTCAGTTGTAGAATATCATAAACGAGAAATTCAGTTGAGTCTATCGTGAAAACCAAACTGATTGGCAAATGAGTGTATTTCCCGAAAACAGCCCAATTCGTGTTCAACTAGAACATAAGGTTGACGGAAACTCGGAGACTGCGCCTACCTGATGAGCCCCAAGAGGGACGAAACCGGTCGTGGGCTGTCGAAGAGTTTTGAGCAACATTGTGAGTAGAAATATCGACGACGCTGGCAAACATCAGGAACTCACCAGACGCGAGTACTGGCGCTTTGTTCCATTCTGTATTCCAGTCTCGTTGTACTCAATAAGCTTTGTAATTTGATTGTGTTCAAACAAACAGCACAGCGCGTTTATTGATAGTTAAAAGAGAAGTCACGCGTTATCGCGGTGCGACGGTTTTTGTGCCCCACTTGGCACCCGCATAGCCTCCTAGACCAGATTGGTCGGTGGATACAGGTCAAACGGACGGGTTTCTGGCCCCATAGACCGAGGACTACAAGTACGATATCTTGTGTCCTAAAACAGATGCTAATGTATCGGCATCCACTAGATGCCCTTCGGCTACTGTAATCAGGTACTACCAGTTGGTTGGGAGCCCTAATGGTCCAGCTGGCAAGGTACAAATACTACAGAGGAAAATGTCAGCACTAGGAGTCAGCGAACAATATCAGTGGTTTGGCGTGATTGCTCTCTGGTGAATCTAAACCAATGGCAAGGGAAATCTTCAGTATGACATTTCCTCTTGAGGAGTGAATGATCTGTTTATCGGGTAATTCCCCAAAAGAACTGCGACCGAAAAATCCGCATCGCAAAGTGCGCGCCCACACTGTACAGGGGGAGTTTGTGGTCAGGCCATTCGTTTACACACGAAAACGTCATAATAGAGATGGACAGCAGTTCGGTCGGTGTGTGGATCGGGGCCATCATGTGAGATGCCCTGCGTTGTGGTGTTTTACTTTGGTTCATTCCATCCCACAAATATTTCGTCTTCATCTGGGATATCACATGAGATGGTGCAATAGATACACCACCCTGGTGCAGCAAACACCAGAATGTAACACAACAGACATAGAGATTTGAGTTTAATGGTTGATTCCAACTGTGAACGTGAGAGATGGCAACCCTAGTCGACTGTCAAAAGCAGTTATTGTTACTTTTTACCTTGAAAACACAACAGTTATTTAGGAAAAGAGAAGAGGGCCTAGATGATACCCACGTCACCTGGGAATATGGCGAGATGGCCCAAGTGGTTAGAGCGCGAATTTACCGACCGAAAGGTCCGTGGTTCGAAATCGACCTCTGTGTCTCGACTTCCCCTGTCTAGGTTTGGGCAACCTGACAGTATCCCAGCCCTCGTGCTTCCTTTGGGTGGCATGGCAGCTAAGCACCGAAAGAGCGTTACAGTTGAACGATTATCTTTTATCTTATCAGTTGAGAATGTAGCACAGTAAAAGGAGCAGCAGACGCTACATTCTCTGAACAGGTCTCAGAGTATCGTTTTGGAAAAAGTTTGGTGACAATCGGTAGATTTATTGCTGGGCAACGTTTCGCTTTTGACACAAAAGCTTCGTCAGGCCAAGTGACTAGGTTCCGAGGTTGGTGGGGATTTAAGGCGGAAGGAGAACCAATCAGCTAAGTCAAGCTAAATCTCAGAGTAGCCTAAATCCTTCGTCCAGGTCTAACACCCTTTTGGCATCTAGTTGCCATACAGACCCGAAAAAAGCATGAGGGCTGAGATACAGCTAGGATACCTAAGGAGCAGTCGAGATACCGAGGTTGGGTACGAAACAGAACGTCCGGCCAATAGGTTCGCACTTTAGCCGCTGAGCTATTTCGATCTCAATGGCATGTTGAGCGAGAGCGCCTGGGGGATGCGACTGATAAGGCACATTGCTAAGGTGTGAATTCAATATCAGTAACAACTGACTACATAGAAAGTGTTCAGGCAGTAAAAAAATGCCCGGGATGTAAGATCATAGACACGTGACTAGGGTGACTGACCAACCATCGGCATATCGAGCCGTAGAGACGGTTTTCGGAAATAGAAGTGAACCACACGGAATAAGCACCTAACAATGGGTCAAAATCATACAGAAACGCAGGTATTCGGCAAAAAAAAGAACAAACCTCTTTAAGTTTATGAGCGCCAAAAAACACTGGGGTCCAGGCCCAATTGGCCAGCAAGTGAAGACCGTACACGGCCAACGGGAGATTCGCCTCATCCGGGGCAGCATCGCGCCAGACCAGGTAAGACGCAGTCCCCATAGAGGCGTACAAAAAGGTCCAAACCGGACCAAACACCCACTTGGGGGGAGCAAAACTGGGTCGTTTGAGCGTGTCGTACCAGGCCATGTTGCGACCGACGATTCGGGCGCCAGCGAAACTGCCCAGGAGTGGAGTAACAACAAACGGGATGGCTCGATAGTCAAACATGTTGCTGAAACGAAGAGAAAATAGGGGTAAAACGAAAGGCTGGGAAGTGACCGTCTACTCTGCCATCCTGGAACGGGGCCAATTGATACAACTCCCAGGGTCGTAAGATGGATACGGTGGCTGTTGGTCCCCATAGGAGCATTTAGCTAATGGAGCGGTTTCAATTTTGTCCTACACACGACGTCATTGCGTGGCTTAAAGGCGGTACTTAGCAGTCCTCGATATAACTAGTATCTAGTACATTCGTTTGATTCTTATCTCGATGACCTGCAGGGCACACTTCCCAACAACAAGTTCGTCAGAATGATGCAATCAGGAAGGTCAGCTTCCTGAAAGCAACCAGTGAGCGCTCGAAATCTACGGAGATCCGCAGCCCCGCTAGATGTTGACCAGACAGGCAACGCCCCCTCAATATGCAGCGCGTCACAGCCTTGTATCAAACCCAGACAGCCCGAGTCGGCGTTGATCAAGCTCAGACCATGCCCCTGCAATATGCAGCACGTCACAACCTCGTACCAAAGCCAGATCGTGTGCGTCAGCATTGGACCAAGTTCAGACGGTGTCCCTCCAATAAATAGCTTGGGACCGTTGTATATTCGCACTTGCTTGTTCGGAATATAGCTGTTGTGTTCCCCTCTGTGGGTCTTTTTCCGGCAACTAGGTACTGGAGCGGGTCAGCAGCAGATACCTCAGATTGGCGAATCAGCAGATATAACAGATGCACAAGTGATTAGTACCTCGCAGCCATCGTTACTCGACCATGGCGGTAATCGGTGGGACGGGAGATGAAGTCCTATCAGGAAGGACTTCTGTTTCACAGATGGAGCGCGTCACATGCCCAATCGACATCGCCTTCACACGAGTAGGGGAGTTTCGAACGACCGGACACCGTTACATTTTGAAGGAAAGGAGAACAGAAAAAAGGAGGAACGATCATGTGGCTAGGGGAGGCTGCCACCATATAGGAATCGTTGATTGAAGTCGTCGCTTTACCGCCCAGAAAACTGCTCAAGGGAGAGGTTACAGGAGCACAGTTGTACTCAGTAAGACTGAATTCCACCAGTATCCCACTACAAATACTTGGAAGACCATTTTATTGGCTCACGCAAGAATGTGAGGCGAAGCGGCCATCAAACCTGGTGACCACAAGCCAAAGTGCAACTGGAACGGAACGAAGTCGTGATTAGGAAGGAATCAACAAAACGAACACCTCATCAAATACCGAGTTATTAACTAACAAGCGTGATTGAATGAAGATATTTGGGAACGCAGAGGGTCACGGAAAGGGTGCAGGTTTTGACTGGCCACAGATCATGTTGTTGGAGGGAAAGACGCAATATCGATTGAATCGAGCGAGGGAGTTCTGATGAGTGTGCTCACAATCTGCCGAAAACAAGGTTGTGTGATGAATCTACAAACCATCCCACGGTTCCTATCGTTAAAGTGTAACGAAAACTCAATGGTCAACAATGCAGACCGCCGCAATGGGGTTGAGTCAAGTCATGGATGCAAACTGACTTTAGGCCCGACCTAAAGCTGTCAACGTGATAGTGGCACAATGAGCTTGCAGGTCACCTGTCTGGAACGTCGTCCTACAAGGTAGAACCATGCCGAGAAGATCAAAGCGGAGCAGCGAGATCCCGCGTCACGAGGAATCTTATTACGGGGGACTGGGAGTAAAGTCGTACTGTTCTATGTGGTGGTAGTGTGAGGGTGGTCAAGTGTTTCCCACAGGTGGTCAGCATGTCCATTTTGACGGAAACAACGATGTCGTCCACTGAGGAAGGACGCGTTAGGAAAGGTTGGTCCTGAAACCCGCGCACTCTGATCGTCCGACGCTTGACTACGACCGCCGGCATGTTATTTAATACCGCCGTACTTTTAGAACCCGGGGGCTTGTTGCTGCGCGCAGCCGCGTTCGGAGTCAGACAGTAATGCCTTATCACCTAGGCCCTCCAGTTAGACCAGCTAGCCTATCACAATCATTCCGAGTTGTCCACAAGTCCACACACTTATTCAGACAACCTAGATAGAAACTGACAGCAAGAACGCCACTGACATCAATAATCAGCCATATCATGCAGCGTCTCCAACCGGGCGCGGTGCGGATTACACGGCTCCCATCCTGGAAGGCGAGTAGCATCGACAGCACCCAAGCGTCTCGTGGTCTCCTTCATACTCCTCTGCTAAGTCAAGGGTTGGCCACCTCTCTGAACTCGGCACGGAAAACAACACTCCCTTTGCCAAACGATGGTTGGGTATACGCAATACATGGCCTAACCAACACAATTTCTGGTGCTGGACACATTCTTCAATGGAAGTACCCGTTGCACAACCGAAAACTCGCTTTCTAATTGCTTCGTTACACCAATCGAAACGAGCTATGGTTCTGAGATAACGGTTTCGAACACCTGAAGACGTCTCAGTTCCGCTGATCGAACAGGCCAAGTCTCACTGCCATACAACCAATTAGCCCGCACCGTAGCTTGATACACACGTCGCTTGAGATTAAGGGACATGCCGCTTTGACGTCATGGGTGTCTCAAATTAGCAAACGCGACCCCAGCCTTGCAGATTCGTACATCGGCCCCATCTACCATACTACAATCAGAACTAACGCAACTTCCAAGATACGTAAAACGCTGTACAACTTCGAATGCCTCCCCCTCGATTTTAAGTGGCGTTTTCAGTGACTGCATGTCCAGAAGCATAACCTTTTACTTATTCTTGTCAACTCTCGTGAACGCGTGGAGGTTTGCAATGCTCTCATCTAGCGTTATCAGGTAAAGCCGTTCTCTTCCACCTTTTCTTATCAAAGTCATCGTAATTCAACTAAACATAGCTCCGTGGCTAGGGTGTGACCTTCTCCACTGTCATCCCTGTAGCACACATCAATTCTACGTGCAGCTGTGTCTTCTCAGATCATCGGCGAAGGAAACCGTGACAGCTATAACTGCCGCACATGTACGCGGTTTACAGCTGAAGATTATGATGAGGGTCCCAAGACAAGTGTTCCGATTAATTAACACTACTTTCAGTTTAGTTCAGTTCAGTTTATCAGCTGCTACAGTTTCAAGCATTAGAGGCGATTGCACAGCCACTTCATTCTAAATGTATATTGCTCAGAAGGAGCGTAAAACTTGGCAGCTACGCACTGAAGGCCGTAGCCACTTTCAGTCGGTGTTTGGTCAGCCCTCCCAGGCAGACAGACGGATAATGAACAGTAAACTGCGATACAATGCCCAACATCCACTTCCATACTACTCTTTTGTGAATCACATGCACCAAGACGGCAATGAATAGGACCCACTCGGTGAAGACTATATGGTAACAGGTCTCTTGAGAGCACTCAAGCGGATTCGCAGGGGCGCCCTTACTGGTTTCGAAAACCAACCAACTCAATCCGTAGAGACGCGTTTGGAGGCTGTACGTTTGTGTAAAGCAACAGGAATCGGTGCTTCAGGAGCGGCAAAGAGCAGGTGTGCTTGAATAAAACACAATTAGGCGGAAAAAAGGTTAAAAAAAGCAACAAATAAGTTGATTGATTTGATTACCACAAGAAGTGGGGACATTCTGATTAAGGATAGATGAGATCCTGTGGTGAAGTTCACTTGTCTGATTGAGTAGCAGAACAGACGGGCTTCAAACAGAGCAAACTCAGAGCATCGTCAACAAAGAACTGATATCAGACTAAGGATGGAAATCAATCGAAATTCAGGCGGATGGAACTTATACCTACTAAACACATCTCGCACAGGTGAAGTGCCATAGCGTAAACATTTGATTCGTGCGGGACAAAAACAGGAAATTATCGGACAGTTACGTCTCACACGCTACTTCTAAGAATTTGGAATTAAAAACCAAACAGGGTCACATGGTTGAATACATGAATCTATAAACACGAAACCCCTACAGTGTTGGACACGTCTCAGAAAACGTTTTGTCGAATTCGGTAACTAAAACACCGGGGAGCAACACAATACCAGATGAAGCATTTTAACAAAGGCATTTCTTGTAGACAAATGAATATGATTCAGTCGAGCCATTAATCGATGTAAAAAGAGGGTCGATAAATGCATCCAAGTGAAAATGAAGGCAGGGATTCCGTTACCGTCGAATATCCCTCTTCAGATGGCATACGCTGGAAAAAAGCGGTTTCACCTGCTTGAATTGCGGATGGTAAGAATTTTGGTGATTTTGCCATGGGCGTCCGAACACGCCAAGGATGTAACAAGTGACTTAGCTGCTAGGACCAACAAAAGGTCGTTGCTGGACGCCATGGAATTTAGGTGACACACTCAAATTGTATGGTATCACACTGCAACAAACCCTAAGGCGGATTGGCCCAACAGCTTCCACAGTGATCCGAGCGACCACACCTCCCGCAATCGGTTGGTAACTGGCTCATAAGTTAACTTTCGGCCTTACAAGTTGGTTTTGACGAATTTCAAGGTCACGGTCTTTTCCCGAGGATGGTGCAAAATTTGCCAGCGTGCCTTGGATGTCTGATCAGAAGATCTGTTTATCATCGCAATGATGTTAAGAAAGCTCTGGTAAGCTATCCGAGAGCCTACCGGTTCAATCCGACTAGGCAGACCATCTTCCAAGCGATCCCGTTTACAAAACATCTTATTTTGTGAAAAAGAAGCCCTCCGTTTTAAGATCACGATGCCACTAGGTTCAGTAGCCTCGAAGAATTGAAACGATAAGCGACCAATCGTGTGAAAAACCTGGCAGAACGAAGTCGAATAAAAATCATTTATTTCGAAATACCTACGTTCAGAATGGCCATAAAGAAATTTGATTCAGGTTGATAGAATCAGACAAGGTGCCCGAAAACCCGGAATGGTTCTGCGTGAGAGCCGAGTATTCGTGAGTGGGGGCCCGGTAGAATTAGTTTAAGATCGCCGTGCCGATGTTGACCGTAGTCGCGTAGGCAAGCCACATTATGTAAGGTAGCATCAGATTGCTGGCCAAAGCGTTGATTGGACGGAAGAGAACAGCGCAGGCTGAAACACAACTCAATGTGGACAGCATGACCATTACGGACTGTGAAGTGGGAGATAAAAAACGTAAGAAGGCGAACAGGATTCACAAGTGAATTTTTTCCATTTAAAGATGAAATAACCAGAGTTGAAATGAAATTACTAAGCATTGTTTGAAAGTGTTCACTGAAACGATAGGTATTGACATCAACGATTCTACGAAAAAAATTGTTCAGCGGCGCCTAGCTGCCATGCTACTCTAAGGAAGCACGAGGGCTGGAATACTGCCAGGTTGCCCAAAAATAGACAGGAGAAGTCGAGAGGCAGAGAGAGCGAGCGGCAGTGGTGAGGCTGACCATCCCCTCGATGTGCTTCGCACCCACAACGTGTAAAGCATGACTGTGGAACTGCAGTCTCTGAACAAGTCCCTCAGAACTCAAGAGCTTGGAATAGCACATGCATCTCGAAAATTGCATTAACTCTGATGGATGAGATCAACGCGCGAATCCCAGAAGTCGGAATTAATTCGGTCAATTAGCATTATTTGTGATATCAGAAAGACATAATTTGATCCCAAAGGATGAGTTTATCAGACTATAGTATGGGCTGCATTGTACGGTTGTGAGACTTGGTCGCCTGCAGGTTCTAGGCACCTTCAGGTTCTTGAGTACCGACATCTAGGATCAGCTGAGACTGACAAATTCACTGGGATGACTAGAAAACGGGTGCTTCATCAGGCAGCATTTATTTCGCTTGGGAAATGCCTCCGGCAGTTTAGATCAGGATGGTGTGATCATATACCACACATGCCGAATGGTTGTCCACAAAGAAGAACGCTGTTTTCTGGGCGTTTCTGGGAGTGACGAAAACCTGGAGGAGAGGGTGGATGGTAGTGCAGAAAGTTAAGGTGCCATCAACCTTCCAGGATGGGACCTATCCCACCCCTCCTGTCTGGTCGGAGATATGGAAGCGAGTCTATGTCAGTTGTGTTCACGCTATCAGTCCGAATTCAGGTTGTCTGGGTTGTTTTTGGTACGATGGCATCAGACTTACTTCCCGTTCACCGGTGTCTCTGCCTATGACAATGATTTGACGGAACAAAACCATAAGTGGCGTGAACACTGCCGTTAACAGGTATTATTGTGGTTTTGAAGCTTCGAGGTAGCTCTGAGGCTAAACATGTTACGGTGTAGGTCAATGCGCTGAAACATGACATACTTCACATTGGCCACGACGTTTCGGGAACCTCCACACATTTATGTGCAACTTTCCAATTCTGGAAAATTCCCCCGTAAGCGGCAGGCTTCCAGAGAAAGGAGAATATCCCACTTATCTATGTAAGAGTATCTCTGGGGTGTGTGTGGGGTAGTAACTACTCGCACGGCCTGTTTTCCGACGTGGAAGAAAGTATTTGGCGTTTTAGTCAAAAATCCAGAGATAGCCATCAATAAAATGCAGGTGTTAAAAAACTCATGCGCCCCCGAGTGCAATACTGGTAGAAAGATAAACGTACAAGTTTAAGCTTGTGCGCACCAAAGAAGACCGCGGTCCATGACCAGTTCAGCAAAAGGTGTAAACCGTAAATGGTTAGAGGGAGCCGAACAGTGTCTGACGTACTGTCACGCCAGACCAGATAGGAAGCGGTCCCCATTGCAATGTATAGGCAATTCCACACGGGGGCAAAGACCCAATTTGGAGGAGCGAACCACACTTTCTTCAACGTTCTTGACCAAGCCAAATTACGTCGGACAATATATCTTCCAGGAATAGAGCCTAGGTAGGGTGTCATGATGAACGGGACAATGCGATAGTCCATTGATGGAATAAGTCTGGAAGTGGATGGATAAGAGGTAACGGGTGGGTTGCAAAACGGTTGCAATGGGGTCATGGTGACATCAAATACAATTAGAAGAGCGCAGTACAGATATGTTTCGGCTGTGGTCGTAAAATTGGCGACGAATGGAGAAAGCCGAGTTAATTTTTCAGCGGACCACTATCACGAAACTTCTATAGCTACACCAAACGCGCACAAAAATTAATATTCCTTTCGTCAAATAATAAATAAGGTTGCGTCCGAGCACTTGATCGACATGGTCCCATGATTTCACCATAAGCTTGGTCTAGCAGTGGCTAAGCTGCCACGATTTCTGTGTCGTGAAATCTGTGAAATTTCATCAAGACTACCCGTTTCCCTTGTTTTTCTTTTGTTCTACCTAGAAATTTATAAAACGCATTGTCCAACAAATCTGTTCACTGAATCATTCCATTCCCTGTTAAAAATCGACCGAAACTAGCTTACAGGATCCTACGACAGTAATACATTTGGATACGGTCCACTGTAACTCAGTTTATTCACAGATGATGGTAATGAGTCAGATTGTTTTGGTCTGTCAGAATCCGAAAACAACTGATTGTTTTCCAAGCTCTTTTGAAAACCAAAATCTAATCTTTATCTCTGCATATGCCTGCGCTCACACCAGTGCTCCGGGTTTCTTCCGCTCAGTTCGAAGGTACCCCTGGGTAACATGGATTTAAGTCTGTTATTGTTCCGGATCTAGTCAACATGAGCGACTCAATTGCCATATCGAGTGCATTACTAACCATACCTTGTCCAGCAACCGTTCTTTCGGGATTCCTGAGTAGTGATTATGGACGCTAGGCAGCTAAAGTCTAACTGCTGTGTAAAATCCGATAAGCAAAAAGTGCTGAACTTGGAATCGTTCATTGCCACAGCATCTTCGTGACCAGGTTGCATTAAGGAAAAGTATTATGAGTCGAAGTTCAGAGCGACGTGCTAGGATCGAGTGTCCGGTCATTGTTTGATATTTCGTTAGCGGTGACATCGGTACAAAATATCGCACCGTGCGCTGGGCGAATTCTGGCATTCATTACTCGAAAACATGGCTTAAAATAGTTTTTGTGGTAAGTTACGGCGTGTGATACAGGAACAGAGTATGTTCCAACCAACTGAAAGATGTTCGGAGTGGATCGTGCCGTCGTTCCGGAAAGGCTTAATAAACCCACAGGTTGTCCATAAAACATTCGTGGAAAGATTGTATTACGAACACTAAGCCAGTCGCCTTTATCTTGACTCGTTTTTCATTGAGGCTGTGAAAGCACACACATCATACTTGGGTGTGGGCAGAATACATTCCGCCTGTCCGGATGGATAAATGGAGTTGACCTTGGGGTCTGTATCGATTCTTTGGAGGATTTATATCCACAGGGCTGCTGGCCGCAGTATGGAATCCATGACGTTTTTGGGAACAGTGCTAGTGTTCGGTTGATACATCCTTTGGGTGGAGAGACCTGTATAGGACATCCAATCACCCTACGACCAACTATACCATTAGCTATCCAAGTAATTCGGATGGACTTTATATATGGCCACGGGGAAAATACATTTGTATGCCATCAATAGCGGAGACGAAACTTCACACAATGGAGCTGTTCTTATGTTTTCTCCTAGCTCTACGAGCTCGCAGTCGGTTACAGTTCGAAGGCTAAGCGCGTCGTATGCGGTATTAATAAAGAACCGATAAAAAAACTCATTCCAACAGCATTACCGGTGTCCTTTCCACGACCACCTATTGGTTACGAGAAGCTAGTTCGCAGTGATCATTCCATTCCACTACTACTGGGGGAGGCTACTCCACATCCGTAACTTGAGGACGGGTCTGCCGGCGTTCAAGTCCATCCGATCTCGCGTATTTCGAGTATCCAGTTACCAGAAAGATCGAGCAAAACCTGTTGAACTCAGCTCGCAGTTTGCGCCTATAGAACACGCCCTGAGTGAACTAGACAGATATGACACCCACCTTGGCTCGTAACTTCTTTAAACCGATCAAAGTAACAGTATGGAAAGATGCAGAAGCCCAACCTAAAACTAACACCTCATCACGGTGGTCAGGCTTCAGTGCTGAAACGGCCCTGCGGGCTACACTGACTGGACCTCAGTTCCTTAGGGTTCAACCATACCGACGGCCGGCTGGAAACAGCCTTAGGAAGAGTAGAGTCCTCCTACTACAAGAAATGGTATTATGAGGCGGCCTGAGGATAAAGTCTTTACTGCCTTCTGTTACAGTAGTGTGGAGACCCTAAAGTGATCGGTATGTTAATGCTGATCAGCAGCTATGCTGTCTTCTTCTGAGAAAGGACTAGCTAGAGATCGATATTAAAAACCGCACTCTCCAATCACTGGGATTGACCGTGACTAACGGCCACAAGAGATTGACCTTGTCATGAGCACGGCACGCATCTGAGGGCATCTACTGAGCGAGGCAGCATCAGGAGTGGGATGCCTACGTCATGTTCCACACACCATCGCGTTAGGCCAGGCCTCCGCAACCATGGTCAACCTATTGAGTCCTCAGCTTCGGGAGGAGGTTAAGGAGCAAATCGACCGGAACATCATACTTGGGTGTGGGCAGAATACATTCCGCCTGTCCGGATGGATAAATGGAGTTGACCTTGGGGTCTGTATCGATTCTTTGGAGGATTTATATCCACAGGGCTGCTGGCCGCAGTATGGAATCCATGACGTTTTTGGGAACAGTGCTAGTGTTCGGTTGATACATCCTTTGGGTGGAGAGACCTGTATAGGACATCCAATCACCCTACGACCAACTATACCATTAGCTATCCAAGTAATTCGGATGGACTTTATATATGGCCACGGGGAAAATACATTTGTATGCCATCAATAGCGGAGACGAAACTTCACACAATGGAGCTGTTCTTATGTTTTCTCCTAGCTCTACGAGCTCGCAGTCGGTTACAGTTCGAAGGCTAAGCGCGTCGTATGCGGTATTAATAAAGAACCGATAAAAAAACTCATTCCAACAGCATTACCGGTGTCCTTTCCACGACCACCTATTGGTTACGAGAAGCTAGTTCGCAGTGATCATTCCATTCCACTACTACTGGGGGAGGCTACTCCACATCCGTAACTTGAGGACGGGTCTGCCGGCGTTCAAGTCCATCCGATCTCGCGTATTTCGAGTATCCAGTTACCAGAAAGATCGAGCAAAACCTGTTGAACTCAGCTCGCAGTTTGCGCCTATAGAACACGCCCTGAGTGAACTAGACAGATATGACACCCACCTTGGCTCGTAACTTCTTTAAACCGATCAAAGTAACAGTATGGAAAGATGCAGAAGCCCAACCTAAAACTAACACCTCATCACGGTGGTCAGGCTTCAGTGCTGAAACGGCCCTGCGGGCTACACTGACTGGACCTCAGTTCCTTAGGGTTCAACCATACCGACGGCCGGCTGGAAACAGCCTTAGGAAGAGTAGAGTCCTCCTACTACAAGAAATGGTATTATGAGGCGGCCTGAGGATAAAGTCTTTACTGCCTTCTGTTACAGTAGTGTGGAGACCCTAAAGTGATCGGTATGTTAATGCTGATCAGCAGCTATGCTGTCTTCTTCTGAGAAAGGACTAGCTAGAGATCGATATTAAAAACCGCACTCTCCAATCACTGGGATTGACCGTGACTAACGGCCACAAGAGATTGACCTTGTCATGAGCACGGCACGCATCTGAGGGCATCTACTGAGCGAGGCAGCATCAGGAGTGGGATGCCTACGTCATGTTCCACACACCATCGCGTTAGGCCAGGCCTCCGCAACCATGGTCAACCTATTGAGTCCTCAGCTTCGGGAGGAGGTTAAGGAGCAAACCTGTCGACCGGAAGGTTGCTCGAACCTGACTCCTTTGCTCCTGTCTAGGCTTTGTTATCCCAGCCCTATGCTTCCTTCCGTTGGCATGACAGATAAACATCGAGAGGATGTTACAAGTGAACTGTTTCTCCCCATTACCTTATGGGTCAGACTTCTGAGTCAAAAGCTCAGGGTGAGGTACCTCAATCAAACTCCTTCTCCATCTTAGGCAACCGGGAAGTACCACCGCCTTTGTAGCTGTTCGCCCAACGTCCCTTCGACTCACTCCTTACCAGCACATCAAATGATGCGGTGTGATCAACTGATCTACCAGTCACCTAACCATTCTTTATATCTAAGCTATCGTCCAGAGAAATAAACCAAAATAATCCCTTGCTAGCCTCAAAAGATCTTATTCACGTTGAAAACATCAATGTCTATACTCCCTGTCAGATTGAATAAAAGGGCCTCTTATTAAAAACTTGCTTATCATTTCTTGGAAATATGTTGCTTCGAAAATGCCTTCATGAGACCCCAGTTCAGCCATGCACCTCATGCCGCTTAGTACGAGCTCAGATGTTTAACGCTTCACTCCTTGGGTATCTCCTGACCCTAACCCAACGGCTGGTGATATCTATGGTGTGGGAGTTACAATCAGCCCCAGGGTTGAGTGCGGCCTACCGGACTGGATCTCAGTAAACAGTCATCTTTGAACTCTACGGTTGTCTAGCTGAATTAAGATCAATGCAAATGGATGCAGTAAACGGTTTGCCGATTTGGCTAACGCCATGAAAGACTGAATTTCTGAATCTGGGGATGGATTTTACCGCAATCTGACACGAGTGCTTTGGTGGATCGGACACAGCCAAAACTGTATGGATGTCGGACTATTAATGTCGAAAGAAGCACAGTTAGGCGGCAAATTTGGAGTCGATGCTGAGCTATGGAAATTCGGGAGCGACTGTTTCAGTTGTGTGCTGATTGTGTCCGATCCTGGTCAGTACAAACTTTCAACACAAACGATATCATCGAGTTACTTGGAGGCCACCAACCTCAAGACAGTCATGGACTCAAATGGACAACGTGGCATCATCATCATCATCAAAGACAGCAACAACAGTGTTGACAGTGATGCTCCACTGCCGTACATGTGGACGATGTGGCTCTTAGATGTCGACGGAGAGCGTCAATTAAAGATTGTCTTTCCTTCTGGGGGTACGCAACTTGATCATGATCGGTTACCACTCCGCTCTCCATCAGCATTGTGCGTGTCAAAGCACAGCAGTTCCATTCAACTTCGACAAATTTCAGTAGCTCAGGTGTATCGAGCTGACCTAGTTAAAGCTACTGGAAACGAAGGTGACGAAGATTGCTCGAAGGTTGAATGGAAGCGAGTGGAAGAAGCTATGCTCTCTGCTATTTGTCCAAGCCATCCGACTCGAATAAATGAACGCTGAATATCGTCCAGATCGGCAGCTTTTATTGCTACCAGAAAGGACATAGGAGCAACAGGTGATTGTCATGACGCACTCAGATCCCTCAAACACCGGATAATAAGGAGCCTGAAGAATGATAGAGAACGTCGATAGATTTTGAGGGTCTAGGAGATGGAGAAGGCTTTCGCTGCAGCCAGTTCAGCTCGACTTTTTCAACACAACCGCTGGAAGAGTCGAGCGGTCCTGAATGGAACATCGGAACCAACCATCAGTCAACAACCGAAATCCAGTGCGAGAATCCACAAGCGCAACGACGCCTGAATCCCGCGATCTCCAAAGAAGGTATGGAAGTCCTGGTGAACAGCCTAAAAACCATAGTTCAGATTTGGAACGATAAATACCAGATTGGAGCCCTTTAACTGTCATTCCAGTTATCAAAAAGGGCACAAGAACGTCATGCGAAAATTATCGTGGCATCAGTCAGGTACCTGTCGCATATAAGGTGCTCTCCAGCCTTACTCTGCACAGGTTGGTCGATTATCAGGAGATTCGTGAAAGTCAAGCTGAGTTTCGCCATGGTCGAGGATGCCTCTTGAAAAGCACCACTCTTTCAGGCGCCCCACGTTAAATAAAAAAATCGTTCAGCTGTAGCACCCTTTCAGTGCCGAGCTGCCGTGCCACCAGAAGGAAGCTCGGGGGCTGAGATACTGCCAGGTTACCCAAGCCTAGACAGGGGAGTCGAGAGGCAGAGGTCGGGTTCGAACCACGGACCTTCCGGCCAGTAAATTCGCGCCCTAACCACTTGGGCCATCTCGCCCCAAGTTGGTCGCTTTTTGGTTAAAAGCTGCTCTTAACTCCGTCGATCGTGAAAAAACTTGGCGCTCCCTTCTAAATTTATACCCTTCATGAGGGCTACGTATGCGAGCTCCTGTGGGGGAACACGAGTACATGGCAAGCTTTCGCCTGAGGTCACCACGTCCGGTGCTGCAAGATAAGGCTGCTCTCTCACATTTACTTTGCAAATTTGTTACTGTGGTGCTGCTTGGAATTTCCCTTTCTGCCTACGAAACCTCGAGGGTCGAAATGCTCCCGGGAAGCTCCCTCCTTGATTCAGATCCTTCGAAAACGGAAACAATTTTAACTAACCAAAATAACTCTGCAGGTTGGTATGCAAAGTGCAAAGAGTTACTATAAGTTGGTGGGACCAAACCCAAACCTCATGCTTGTACACGAGCCAATCGATGTGGTACATGAATTTGTTTACCTGGGCATTTATATGAGTTCCAGTGGAGTGGCTGCAGATGAGATTACTTTACGGATCGAGAAAGCTAGAACAGCTTTTGCCAACCTTCAACACTTATGGTATCAACGCGACGTCATTCTATCTGTCAAAGGTCAGAGTGTCATAATCGTTATTGCCAGCTAACTGCGTACTGTACAGCGGTTGTAGCTGCCCGTTTCGTTCACCGATGGTTCGGGGAGGTGGGATAGGCAGCTGCTATTTGAAGGCAGGAGCCGATAAATTAGTGCGTAAATACAGCACTGCAGTGGACTCTTAAGTTGGGGGGTTGGGAAGGGAGCTATACATTGAAGGCGATAGCTTGGATGCATAAGCGCCATTGAGGGCACGACTCGACCGTATCTGACAGTGTCTCTAATCATTGATACGGTCCGTCTCGGGGTCCCCATCCAGGAAGATGGCAATGACCAACACAGCTGAGTCTGCTGGTAGTGGCTTTTACACTTCGCTGCCAAATCGTTGTTTGACCTCCTCTGGCTCTCTTCCACCCTTCACATGGCTGTGCGAAAAAAGCCCTTCGAGGAAGTCGGTCGACTGGCATACACAACACGTGGCCAAGCCAGCGCAACCTAAGCAGTGCGATCAGTTAATCTATCGAGGGTGAATTACTTCTCCCGAATACCATTTGACGAACGTCAGCACTGCTGATCCGATGTTCCCACCAGATTCGAGGAATGCTCTGAAGACATCGACGGTCAAACACTGAGTCTTTTGACGTCCTCGGCGCACAGCGGCAAGGTTTCTGATCCATATGGTAATATGGAGCGCACCGCAGCATTGTAAACTCGACCCTTGATAGATAAGATAAAAAAAAGATAACCAGCCAGCTGTAACACTCTTTCGGTGCCTAGCTGCCATGCCACGCGAAGGAAGCACGAGGGCTGGGATACTGCCAGGTTGCCCAAGCCTAGACAGGGGAAGTCGGGAGACAGAGGTCGGGCTCGAACCACAGACCTTCCGGTCAGTGAATTCGTGCTCTAACCACCTGAGGCATCTCGCCTTGATAGAGAAGCTGATGTCACACATACGCCGCATGTGACGCAGGTTCTGGCTCTGGCCTTCCCAATCCGGATGAAACTGTCATCTTTCGCGAGACCACCGGGACTGATACAGTAGCCCAGGTAAACTAATTTGTCCACTACCCCGATCGGTTCATCCGCAAGCATGAGGCTAGGGTTTGAGCCCACCAGGGGTTCGCCTAACTAGAGGCGCAGGGAATAAGGCATTACTGTTTTATTCCTGATGCAGCTGCGAACAGCATCGGGCTTTTTGTTTTCAAAGTATTTCGACAGCATTGAATAAATTGCCGGCGGTTACGGTCAACCAATAAGCGATCGGAATGTGAGGCTTTTGGGGCCGACTTTTTCTGACCCGTCCTTCCTTGGGGGAAGGCGGTATTGCTACTTCCATAAATATGGAGATGCTGGTAGTCTGGGGAAGCACCTTACTGCTTTCACACTCCTGTCGCAGAGGACAGTACGAACTTACCCCCAGACCGCCTCGTAGGACGATTTCTCGCAACAGGGGTAATAGTTGTTCTTTGTTGGGCT